AGGGTGAACTCCCAGAAGTCGCTCTTAAAGAGGTTCCGTTTAGCGAGGTAGCTGCACCGCCGACTCCCGCTCCAGGCACGCCGCGAGGCGTGTACATCACTGTGGATCGGATAATCCGGTTCCGTGAAACACCAGGTTGTCGAGGTTGTACCGGTCGCACCCGGTACCATACCCCCGAATGTCGACGTCGCTTTGCGAGGCTGGTCGATACGGAGAAAGCCGAGGAGCGCTCCAAGCGCTCGGCTGTCGTCGAGGTAGAGCGGCCACTTCGCCCCTCCGAAGCGATTGACCCAGTTCATACAGCCAAGGGGGCACGTCTCGAAGAAGGCGATGCCGACCTTAAAAAGGCACTTGAGCTTTCCCGCCTTGAAAAGGCAGATCTATCTGATCCCGATGAGCTCGAGAAAGCACTGAGGGCATCCGAAGAACATGATGATGCTCTTCGCGGCAAGCCAGCTCCGTCTCGGCCAGGGGGGATTCCGCCAACCGCGCCGCCTGCAGCCACAACTGGCGCGGCGGTAACAACAACCACTGCAACCTCCACGTCACTCACGTGCCACGTAGCCGACTCCTTCACCAAGAGGGAGGCTCGGACTCTGCCTGTGTTCGGCATGCCATGTTCCAAAAAGGAGCCATGCAAAAAGTTTTCCGTAGGGAATAAGAGGGCCCGCAAGCGTATCGCGCGGGGAAATTCTATGCCTGTAATGTTCGAGTATGCATGTTCAAGTGACTCCACCATGGGAGCAGTGCATCAAGCATTAGGCATTCCCCACGTGAGACTGGCTAAAGAACACATCGATCTTGAAACCAATGAAGGGGATGAGCAACTGACCGCTCAGTTGCAGTCTTGTAGCAAGCCTAACATGTGGGCGGCCATTCCGTGCACCTCCGGGTCGCCATGGCAAAGGCTAAATGTCCATAGGTATGGCAATAAATACAAGCAGTATCTCCGTGCACAGGTTAAAAGGTCGGAGGCGTTGTTCGCAAGGTTCACAAAGCACGCCGAAGTGGTGATAGAACAAGAGGGTCACGTCACTTTCGAGTGGCCTCGCGACTGCGAGGGATGGGAGCGCCCCGACGTAAAGGCATTCTTCGAGAAGCATGCGTCTCGCTTCCACTCAGTGACTTTCCACGGGTGTGCAGTAGGTCTAACTGACAAGGAAGGGACTCCCATCAAGAAGCCGTGGCGTCTCATGACCACATCCAAGGAACTTCATGATGGGTTCCAGAATAGGACATGCCCCCACCAGCACTCCTTCAAGCACGCGCAGGCCGCAGGTAGCAACACTGCACGCACCGCCTCTTATCCACAAGAGATGTGTAAGATAATCGCTAGTGCGTTATACCCGCATGTCGCAGCACCATGCGCGCCTGCAATGCCAGTCCAGGCTGTCACCGTGCAAGAGGAGCGTCGGGAAAAGGAGCAGTCCTTGAAGCATACCTCCGCACTTTCGGGTGTTGGGGCTCTCGCGTCAGTGGTTGAATCAGATCCAACATCCCGCAGATTCTTTGAAGAACTCTTTGACTTGGATAACCTCGTTAGGGAAATTCAGGGAATTACAAAGCAGGAGACTTCTCCCGACATAGCCGCCATGGTCACAAAACTTCTTTCACGTTCAGAGATGCTTGCCTCGTCCGAGGCATTGCAGGCCGTAAAGGAAGAAGCAGACGGCTTAAGTAATGCGGGAGTCTGGGATCTCAGCACCGTGAGAGAGCAAGGAGAGGTCGCTGCTGAAGCGCGACGGACGCACACTAAAGTCCACTTCGGGCAACTAATGACCATCGCCTCCATCAAATTCTTTGAGCTAGCAAAGCATCTACAGAAAATGAAGGGGCGTATAGTATACCGAGGGGACTGTGCGCGGGACGAATATGGGGCGGCGGCCGTTTATCAAGAACTCGGCGCCAACCCTACGTCCGTTCAGGGTCTGAACAATTGCCTTGCCTACGGCTCACTGCCAGGTCACAAAACCACGGCGGCAGACGCCGTAAAGGCATATATCCAGGCCCTACTTCGATCTCAACATCAGACGTGGATATCGTTGCCGCCGGAACTTCGTCCGAAGTGGTGGAAAGAAAAGTTTATAAAACCGGTAGTCCTTCTAGTAAAAGCACTCTACGGTCACCCCGACGCGGGGGGGCTATGGGAGCAGCACTTCAAGAAGATCTTGAAGGAGCAGACCGGAGAGGAGATCCAAGAATTTCCAGGAAACTTTTACTTCCCCTCAACCGGCTTAATGCTATCCACTTATGTGGATGATCTAACACTTTCAGGGCCGGCAGAGCAGCATGACCCCTTTTGGGAAAAGCTGATGTCATGTGTTGACATTGAACCCCCAGAACCGATATATCGTGTTTTGGGAAGGAATCATGTCATCATTAACGCCCCGAAGTGCGAGCCTAATCCAGCCGAGAGCGCAGCCTTTGGCGCGCTGTCCAACGCAATGGCTTTTGATATGGTTGACTATGCCAAACAAACTGTAGATTTGTATGTCTCCATTTCAGGTCAGCCGGTTAGTAAACTCCGCAAGGCATTGACCCCATTCTGTCCAGAAGGGTCATTGCCAACACAAGATGATGCCGAAGCAGGTGAATTGAGCTCAGCCGCTTGTAAAATCTTGAATGGTCGCGTAATAATGATAGGCAGTTGGCTAGGCTAATAGCTTATATTAACACGACCACAACGCACAGGTTGGTTGGCACAGTTCAAGACGATCCCAGAGAGCTGCATCTTGCGCTCTACGTCGACGCTGACTTTGCAGGAGAAGAGGGGGCCAAGTCCACGTCAGGGGGGTTTCTCGCCCTGAAAGGCCCGAATTCCCACTTCCCCTTAGCATGGATTAGCAAGCGCCAGACTTCTGTGTCGCGTTCCACTACAGAAGCAGAGATTGTGTCGTTAGCATTTTCTTTGTATCAGGAGGGACTCCCGACACTTAGTCTGTGGGATCGACTATTGGGTCGCCCAATGACCCTAAGGATCCATGAAGACAATGCAAGCACTCCTCGAAGTTGCGTGCAATTTCTAGGACACATAGGGTTAACCTAGCATCCCTTGCAGAACAGTTACAGGAAGGCACTGGAGTAGAGCTTGAATATGTGAAGACCGATTTCCAAGCTGCCGATATCTTTACCAAGGCTTTGCCTCCGCATAAGTGGGATCACGCCTTGAGGCTCCTGGGAATGCGCACAGATCTCCCAGAAGAGCTAGAAGATACTCGATTCAACATCAAAAAGTAGAAAGTCATCCCGAAGGTAGTGCTGTGAGTACTAAGAGTGCCAAAATATCCTTCATCCTTGTAAAGCCTTGATGTCCGGGAGCAGCGTATCGCGCTCCAAAACAAAAGCTTACCCTGCCTTAGTGCACACGGCGAGGGGGGAGTCAAGAAATAACGACCCCTTAGCCCCCAAAGGCATGGTAACTTGCCTAGTTGTGTGGTCACTGATGTGAGGTTTGCTTGAGGCCACTTTGGTTTAGGTTGAGGGTTGCATGTCATGACAGACTTGTCGAACGGCAAACGCCGTTTGGCTCAAGCGCACATCAAGAAAACAGCGCTGAGTGCGGAACGAGAGTCTAGGAACCACCCCCTGAACCGCTGAGGGATTAACCACGGTCAATCCACCTCTTTTTGTTCAGGGCGCAGCCTTCGGCGCGCGTTTGGGGTTTCTTGCTCTTTTGATTATAACATGTGAATTCACATCAACATGGCCTGGGCATTCATGTGGGGTACCTCACGTGGCCTTCTCAAACCACCACTTTTTGAAAGGGGTCTGCAGACAGCCAAGAATTTTTGGATTTCAGGGAGTTCTGGCTGATATTTGTTGGCGATGCTTCGTGGCTGTGCTGGTAACAGTGCAAAGCTGGCACTGGCAGCTTTTCTTGGCAGTGCCAAGCAAATGGAAAGCAAATGTTAGCAAAGTTTAGGTGCAGCAGCGTTGACAAAATGAGAGCAGCTGCATCACCAGGAATTCTTGATTTGGTTGAATTCCATGGGTTCTGTGTATTTTGGGGTTATTGGAGAATTCCAATTTTACAAACTGTTTATTGGGGCGTCCTGTGCCTGGTTTAGTACCAGGCGTATATTAATCCAGTGTTGACATTATGCAGGTTTGTGCGGCCGAGGTCCGAAGATGCCATGGTTTCCTCCTGGCTTCCGCTGGAGGATGTGCTGAAGGCTACTTTCCCGGCAGCGCCTGGTTGCGCTGGACCGTCGCCAGGAAGTCGAGAAAGGTTTGAACGCCAAGCTGTCCGGGACCCACAATGATTTGATGCGTCGAAGGCTTTGGCCCTGATTGCCCGAGGACGCGCGGCGTTGTTTGATCCTTTTGGAGCTGTTCTTTCGAGACCCTGCCAAGCCGCTTCCCGGAAGCGTAGCGGCAAACACGCGGAAGGCACGAAGGCATCTTCCCTTCTTTCCCGCAAATTCCAAGTACTTCATAAGGATGGCTTTTGGGGGGTAAAAAAAGGGGTCTAAGCACCTCAGAAGGTACTTGGACCCTTTGGGTTTTAGAATCGTGTTTCCTGGATCACAATGTAACGTCCTAGCCGATGGCTAGACGCCTCCACATTGGGATCCGTTCGGGGAGGGCTCATTCCCCCGAGTTTGGAGCAAGCCGTAGCAGAAGCATCACGCCCAATGTCGCGGCTTTCAGAAGGACTGGTGCTACGACGTGTAGAGAGAGAGAGAGAGGCTGAGAGAAGGGGAAAACAAACGTGTTCCAACCCAACTCCAAACATTGATTTTTTTGCAGCAAGCAGAAGCAGAAGTATCAACTGACGTGTTTTTTCGTAGCTGACTTAGGGCCATGTCCTCGCATGTAGTGCGGGGCCAGTCTTCACACTTGCGCGCCAAGATGGCCGGCGCATCTCTCGAGACACCGGCGGAGTCAGATCAAATGCATTTGCCGGCATGGGGCTTTCGCATCAAAGTGTGTTTCTTAGGCTATGATGCCGACCCTCCACCAAAAAACATAGCATGTTCCCCCCCGCCCTCCTGTCCCCGGAGTGACGTTTCTCTCAAGGGAGGTGTTCCATGCGCATCATGACGTCGAAGGCGAGGCCGTTCGGCCGATCGCGAGGGCTTGCAAGGGCTTTTGAGGGGTGACGACTGCCTGCGAGCGCGTCGCAAGGATCCGTTTGCACGGCCGCAAGTTCCTCAGGCCACCAAGGTACACCAGCTCCTTGGAGAGTGTAGTGACAGTGTAGTGCGCACTAGCTACGCTGCACAAAAATTACACGGGGATGTGCAGTTTGGGAATCTCAATGAAGAGATCCCCCGATGTTGAGACAAGGCCAAAATCTTTCCCGCTGCTTTGGCTCCAAGCTTGCGCCGCCATGTCATGCACGTGCTCCTGTGACAGCGAGGCCGAGTTTCGAGTTGCTCAGGCGCCGAGGGGCCAAATCCGCATCAATGGCGAGCTCACCGCTCCGGGGGCTCAAACGCTCATGGTAAAAAGGTCCTTTAGGGGTTTGCAGGTTTTCTTAGGGGATCCCTTTTTTGTTGAAGGTTTCGGACAAAGAGAAAGCAACGGGCGAGATTTCGTGGCCCTTGTTCAGTAGGGGCTGCATGCGTTGTTGGAGGAGGAGCTGGTCGAGGCGTCTTGCGACCTGCCGCTGGTGGCGGAGCCTGTCCTGGAGGAGGAGCCGAAACCAGAAGAGGCAGTTCCAGAGAAGGCCGGGCTCGCCTCGTCGCCCGGTCTCGCTGCGAAGGTCTGCGAAGGTGGGGGGCGCACGTGTTTTTTTTCCATGAGGTGAAGGAGAAAGTCGCCAACTTCTCGGGCGAATGGACCTTGGAGCGCATCGAAGGCGGGCTGCTTTCCAGTACAGTGGATTTAACACAAGTCTGCCTGTTTGGAGCTGCAGTCCGGTGCGGGGCTGCCGTCTTTCCCAGGTGACTTTGATGCCTTCCTGAAGGAGATGGGCGTTGGTTACATGGCACGGTCGCTGGCAAAGTCACGGGGCTATGGTGTGAAGAGCGTGCACCAAGCAGTGGAACATTCGCTGGACAAGATCAAAGTGGTGCAGACCACCCCCAAGGGCACCACGGTGTCTGAGATTCGGCTGGATGGCACAGAGCAGGACTCCCAGTCAGCATATGCTCACTATCAGGTTACCCCTACTTGCTGGTTTGGATTCATGGTTTGAGGATTTGAACTCTGGTTTGTTTTTGCGGGTAAATGGGAAAACCCCTCCTTCACCAAACCACTGGGCTCCAAACCACCAAAGATGAAGCTGAGACTATGCCGTCCGTTCTTGTTTCTCCGGCGGGCCAGGATTCAACCGACCCCATTGAGAATCGAGCTGTCAAGGTGCTGCCGCAATGGGACGGCCAAACTCTGGTGATAGTCAGCAGGCAGGCCGATTTGGCCAATCGGATTGCTTGCCGACCATGCCGATGTTTGCAGCGAGGTCAAAGGACAAAGAGCTGATCACCGTGAGGCGACACATGCGCGGGGAGGCCAGGACTTGCAAAACTGCCCGGCCCCAGTTGCGCACACTAAGGAGACCGTGCAGGAGCTTGAGACCCCGGGCAAAGTTCTAGTGAAGCGTGTCTTTTGCCGAGTCACCTAGTCGGAAGAGCCTGAGAGTGAAGCAAGTCTAGAAGGCTGCTAGGAGAGAAGGCTGCTCGCAACATAAGTACATATTACAAGAAAGGCAGGCCACTCAAGGAGCCATCGAGAACATTGGTTCAAGCACCGGTCCCCTCGCAGCCTTTGGTGTCACATCACGGCGTCGTTCAACCATCCTCCAAGAGGTTTGGCTGGCAATAGAAGGAGCCAAGGCTTTGCGAGTGAAAAGCGGCAATGTGCTTTGTGCAGAGGTTTTACTTCGGGCAGGGCCGTGAAGCCTTGTCCACCACCAAAGAGTACGCCAGCTTGTGCCTGAGGTCTATGTTTCCAGATGCTGGCGGCTGAGATGTCTTTGTGGAACTTTGGTGCAGGATTGAAAGATCCCCAGTGCAAGGCCAAGCAATGGCAGGAGCAACTGGAAGCCATGAAGGCCGGTGAAGGGATGTTCGGGCCAAGGCTCCTTGAGCCATGGCTTAGGACGTTGCCAAAGCAAGCAGTCATGACATGTAACGGCCACGCGGTTATCACTATGACTATAATAGGTAACCAGTGTTTTGGTGGATAAGGGTGGTTCCCTTGACTACCTACCATACTGGCAACTGGAGCCCGTGCAATGATCTCGAGTTCCAATTGATACCCCTTGGGCTAAAGAAGCCCCTAAGCCATGGAACACGGCTTAAATTCAACCACGCTGCCCAAGCACATTGCGCAAAGAATCACCTCAACACTTCGAAGGTGTGGAGGGCGGAACAGAGAGCTGCGATGCCCCGCAGTCCAGATGAAACGCAAAAGACGCTGGGCATGTAAGAGCTACAGTTCCTCCTGGAGCACCCTAATCACCATGTCCTTGAAGTCAAAGCGGATCAGTTTTCTCCACCGGTTTTTCCGGTTTTCCCGCGCGGTGAGTTCTTTGCCTCCGCCGCGCCAGGAGGCGCGTCGCCTGGAGGAGCAGGCGCAGCGCGAGAAGGAGGCGGGCAGGGAAACGCGCACTCCGCGAGCGTCCCAAGGAGGCCGTTTTTTTTGGGGTGTATATATATATATATGCATCAAAACGCACTTTCAAGTGTCACTCTGAATCTTCTCAAATCATGTCAAAGGCCGAAAGGGGGGAGCCGTGTAAATATGGTTTTTTGAAGGGCTCCTTCAAAGATAGATCTTGCAACCATTTGAAACATGTTGGTTTGTCAACACCAAAAGAAGGGGGAACCACCTACTTACAAGGCAATGTTCAGGTGTATAATGTAAGGATCCCTGTTTTGAAGGGCAACACAAGAAGCAAAGTGTGTTTGGGAAGGGAAGCCTCATATTTTGCTCAAGTTAATCCTGGAAACTCAGCGTGGCTGTCGAAGTGGTGGGGATTTGCGACCAGTTCTTGGACCCGCAAGGTAGTTTAAGCGAGTTCCAGAGCCATGCTGCGCAAGTGAGTCTTAACTTTTCACCAGACGAGTTTGAGATCCCAAGATCGCTGGAGAAACAAACGTAGCTGCGATGGCAGGCTGAGCAGGCGCGACTGGCCCGGAGCCAAAGAGCCGCGAGGGCTTGGGGACTGGATGGAGCTGAGGTCAAGTCTTGGCAGCTGGAGGTGCAGCAGATGAAGGCTGGGGCCGTCTTTCAGCTTGGAGTTTTCCACATGGCCTCGGTGTACCTCTGGTTTCCCTTCAATCAAAACCACACAAAAAAGTGGGGTACGCTCACACAGAATGATTTTTTACTTTTCCTGCTGGTTTTCAGTTGAAAACCGCCCAGAAGCAGGAGTAACTCCTGTTTAGCAGCGAGGTGGAGCGCAACGAGGCGGTGCCCGAACCTCAACACATGGGCTCTTTTCCGAGCCTGGAGTGGACACTTGGAAGTTGACAAATCCGGTATTTTTAGGGTGTCAAGATATCCCAAGCGGTGCGTTTCTCGGATTTTGTCCATCCTAGAAGCCACAAGAGAGAGACTTTGGATCTCCAAGGCAGCGTGCGGAAGAGACCGAGGAGCATGCCCGGCGCCAGGCCCGAAAAAAAAAGCATCCACGTCCGAGCCCGAAGACCACATGGGTATGGCTCAGAATTAAAGAGCTGGGGTGACGCGGGTTTTAGTCTTTGGTTCCATTTACCAAGGTGCCATTTTGGTACCACCACAGCCCGATTTCAAAATGGCCATGGGTCAGAATGAGCCATTTTGGAGCCGATGAACACCCAACCTATGAAATGATGTTCACCAGGGGTTTCCTGGGGTTTTGACCCACTGATCCAAAAGTCTTTCCGCAGGTGCAGGACTACCACTGGGCGACCGCCAAGCAGCTGCAGGAGATGGAGGCTTCCACATGAGCTGCGTGCAAGTCATGGGAGATGAAAACCTGGGTAGATGGAGGTTAGTAAGGGATACTCCCAGCCATAAATTGCGGATATCCGCCTTCTGAATTCTTGAAACATGGTTCTGGGCTTGCGACCATTTTAATACCGGTTTTTGAGCAAGTGACTCATCTGGGGCCTTCCGGTTCCACACGTGCGGTCGAGGAGCGCATCCACCGCTTGCAGTCGCTGCTGGAGGAGGAGCGCACGGCGCACGCGGTACAGCTGAGCCATCAAGCCGAACTGGTGCAGCAGGCGCGCGCTTGCAGATGTGGCTGTGGTTGTCAAAACCGTTTAGGATCCCATTTTGGGGTAGGTGAATTTACCACCCATTTTAGAACCTATTTTAGTGGATTGGGATGTTCACTGGAGGTACGATTTGGGAAGAGGCCTCTACGGACAAACATGCACACACACACATAGTATACATATTGTATCGATTTATTATGCATAAGCATTTGTTGACCCAAAGCAAGCGCACAAGGGAGCATGTTCACAAGCACATCTCGCCTCTGAGGGCTGTTGCCCAAATGCTTGTGTCTACCATCTTAGGTATTTGTTTATTCGATTTTCGTGTCTATAGCTAAAGATAAACTACACACACAGATATATATATATATGTATATATACATACATAGAAACATGAATATACACATGTGTGTGTGTGTGCATAGATGTGTATCTATTTTTATATATGTACACACATATCTATATATATATCTGGGTGTGGGTCAAAAATAGGTACCCCGAATGTCACCCTGGTAAATGGAAACAATGATAAACAAAAGGTCCCATGGTTTGATTTTGTCCCGTGCCCATTTGTTTGTTGGCGCTTGATTCGTGTCTAGACTCGCCACGTGGGTTGCAGGTGCGTCGTGAGGCGGAGCAAGAGCGCACAGAGGCTGAGCAGCGGCACCGCGCAGCGCTGGCCACAGAGCAGGAGCGAGTGAGGCGGGTGCCACGTGATGCCGCGTAGTGCCCGAAATGGAAGCCTGGTAATTGGAACCAAGGACTACAACCTGCAGTCATATGGGTAGGGGTCAAATTCAACCAGCAGACCGCAGGTTTTAGTCCTTGTGTCCATGTACAAGGGCAACCCATGGTTTGGTACCTATTTTTGACCCACACCCGCATGGTTTGACGCGTTTCCAGAATTTAGGACTGGTTGGAAAAGCTGTTCAGTTGGGAGCATGGTGCTTGCGCGGTTTTCGCCCGCACTCGCCTTGTAGGGAAGCGCATGAGTTGGTGGAGCTTGTGCAGCCGGGCGCCCATGAAAAAAGCAAAGCTTGAGAAGCTGGCAAGACCACGTGGGCTGAGGAAGCGCGCAAGCGAGGATGTCATGGCAGCCCGCGCGCGCGAGGACGTGAGTCATGGTGACGGTGCATCGCTGTTCAAAGCAGGGCGGGCATGGAGAAGACTTCTAGGGGACCCCCCAAATGGCGGTGCTCTTTTTGTCTTCTTTTTGTCTTCCCTTTAAGTCCAAAAAACGAAGGGTTCCCTCAAGAAAGACACGCTCATGTTCTTACCTTGCCCCGTACCCATCATGCAGTTGCCTCAAGGGAGGGTGTTTTTCTAGGATGGCATTGAGACAAACTGGTGCAGTGACACCAGGCATTGAAACTTCTGCAATATCTTTTCACAATTGTAGCATGCTCATTGTAAACTGGAGGGCTTAGGTTTCAGCATGTCCTCTCTTGCTCTTGCTGCTTGGCGCTTGCAGCACACCCACATCAATCCCTCGAGACACCATAAGCACGCTCAAACATGCCCTAGACCCAACCTAAACCAGCCTTAAATCCAACATCAAAACAGCCCAACCCTAAACCCGACCTACAACAGTACCGTACCAAAAAAGCCCCCAGCCAACTGCAAATCACCCCTAGGGCTACCCTCAAATCACTTTGCAACACAAAGACCTGACGTCTATGCCAAACCTAGCTTAAACTCCAAAACCTGCCCAATCTAAAACAGGTCCTCAACCACTTCTAAACCAACTCGGAACTCACCCTTGATTTGGACATCACCCTTAGCACACTCAACTCACCCGCAACAACACAACACACATTCCAAACCAAACCTCCTAAATTCAACCTGGACACAGGGGTTCACCATGTTCCCCCTGTATTGAGGTGGTTTAAGCACCCGGCCTTTGTGAAAAGAGTTTATTTGGCGCAATGCAGGCATTCATGTCAGACAAAATGGTTGAGGAGAGGGCAGCTCCACTCAGGGAAGGGTGCTTAGTAGGTTAGCATCGGGTACGATACTACTTCGAGCATTGCTAGTTGTTTGCCTCTGCGGTTTTCATTAGTACTGAGTCACCTAGTACAAACACTGCTACAGAATGAGCAGCAACTATTTGCTGCAGCTACTCTTACTGGTGTTCCTATTGTTTCAAGTATGGCTACCAATGCTGCTACTTCTTGTTCTTCTTCTCCCCCTTCCAAAGCAGGCCCAACCCACGCCAAAGACTGAACTCAGCCCAAATCAACTCTTGTGACACGCCCAACCAAGCAGCCCAACAACCGCTTGAACAAGCCAACCCAGGAAGCCCCCGAGAAAAGACAACAATAATAGTACTCAAGCCTCCCCTTCATTCCTGGTTAGTCTTTGATTCAGCCTTTCAAGTGCCAAATGAATGTAGTCCCCCCCTCCCCCCAGGCGAAGAAACATAAACATCTAAACGGTACTCAAGCCCCCCCCCCTTAATGCGCTTTGCTTCAGCCTTCTTTTTGCCAAATGAATGTGGTCTCCCCCCCCGGCTTTTGAAAAGGCGTCGCGTGCGCCTCCTTGAAGCAACCCAAACAAACGTAAGGAAATGCAGAATCGGCCCGGGGAAAATCAGAACGCTTGTTCTTTGCCTTTTCTGTTCACCCCTTGGCCGTGAAGACAGAAACCTCCCTAGCACAACTCGCAGAGGTGCAGTTGCTTCGGGGCTTTGGCGCGTGCCAGGAGGCGAGAATTGCCGAGATCCGGGCCCAAGCGCAGCTGCGGACGTGGGGCGCTGAAGTTGCGAAGCAAGTTCCGTCGGCTTCTTCTCTATCTGACTCCCGCGAGCGGAGCTTGGATCTTCCAAGCTCCTTCCCATGTCCTTCCCATGTCCTTTCCGTTTCCAATTTCCATTTCCGAGTTTCCCATTTCCAATTTCCGATCCCCAAGTTGCGAAGCTCCAGTTCATCAACTTGCGTTTGCCGTTCCGGTTTCCTTGCGGGACCCTTCCGCGTGTTTGAACTTCTCCCAGTTCCGCGCATCCGAGAAACCGAAAGAGGCTGTCCTTTTTGGTTGTTTTGTAGGAGGCCCTGGTTTACCTGGTGGTTCCATCAACCAGGGCCGTCTATTTTCTAACAAGGTTTCTCCCACCCGCAGGCAGGAGCTGGAGAAGCGCATGCGGGAGGAGGCCTTCCTCAGGGACCAGCACCTCATCGAGCGCCAGCAGCTCATGGAGGAGGCCCTGCGCGGATCTCAGGACTCTGCGCCGCACGAGTCGCGAGTCGGGCTTCGCTGCCACGCGCGCGGCGCAGCGAGTCGCGGCGGTTTCGGCCGGATATTTTTTTTTTGGCGGGATGCGTGGCTCGTTTGGCTTGAGGAGCCGGACAACCCCTAATTAACATGGGCTTCGGCGGAAACCCTTTGATTTCCCCATGTTTCCCTTTGAAACCAACCGCAAGATGTGGTTTTCCGGTTGGTTTCCCTTAAACAAATGTGCCAACAATGACAAGACTGAACCAACTGACCACAACATTGCCGAGCCCCAAGGTACACGAACGGCCAAGAGAAAGAGCACGCCATCGAGGCGGCGCAGCGACATTTGGCATCTATGGAGCAGGAGAGACAAGACGCGCGCAATGACGATGCGACGGGCTTCGCGCCTCCGCTTTTGGCTCACCTGGGTTCATGGACTTTTGGGGTTTGGCTCCATCTGATGGAGGGACAACACAAAAAGCTCCAGGATGTTTTTTCTGCCAATGGACTTCAGTCACTGTTGGTTTGGAAATTCGTTTAGGGGCAAACAACAAGTTCCGGGACTTCTTCTAGCTCAACTCAAGAAGTGAGGTTTGGTCAGATGCGTCTCAACAGCTGGCAGGGTTTCCCTCTATCTTGCTCTTTCTTTTTCTCCTTCTCCCGCTCGAGAAAAAACACCTTCAAAAGTGGCGATCGTTTCAACTGACCCTTCCGAGCTATTTCCCTTTTTTCTACTGCCTCCGAAGTGGCGATAGTTTCAAGGGACTAATCAATTCTTCAACTTGGGTTTTGGGGAATCCCAGTGACCCCCGTCAGCCCCTAGACAACTCTGAGCATCTTCAGGCCTCTCGAGGCATATGTACTAGCATTGTCCGGCAGAGCTGGACACTGGAAGTTTCAATAGATATGTAGTTAGTTTGGAGCACGCTTCCATTCCCTTTTTTGTGTCTCTTGCTTGCGCTTTCCATTTCTCTTTCTCTCCTTCTTTCCGCTTTCTCTTTCTCTGTGTCCTTATCGTTATCTTCTCGTTCTCCTTCTTCTCTCTGTTTCTTTCTCTTTGTCTGTATGTTTATCTTTATCTTTATCGATTTCTCTGTTCCTCTCTATCTTTATTTCTTGCTCCTTGTCCTCTTTCTCTTTCTACCCTTTCGCTTCGCCTGGTGGGGGACGTACAGTTGGAGGACCTCGGTCAAGTTGGGTGAAGATCCCCCAACTTTCTGTTTGCGACGCCCCCGAGTGTAGATGTTCACTTTCCCCGAGGTGCGGCGTAAGAATAGGTTGCACCTTCGGCCCAAGGCTGCAAGAAGCCGGCTGGGGAAGTACGTTTGGGCTTGTTTGATCCGGCTTGCGCGTTTTGCCCCACCATTTCGTGTGCTTGTTGGACCCAAACGGCGCGTTTGTGACTGCATGCCTGGTGTGCAAATTGCCTGCCACTGCTCAGAGTGCAGTGTCAGCGCCTTGATCGCATGGAAGGTGTCCGTGAGATCGGGCAGGCGGCTCCCCAGCGTGGGGAACAGTTCATGGTAATAGGAGCTGTGGGCGGGCTGGGTGGCAGCTCCGGGTTGGAAGCACCTCAGCCGAAAGCTGGGGGCTTGGGCTTGCGCAAGCGCGTTTCTGGCCCCGGCAAGGCAATTCCAGGCTTTGGTGGGCAGTCAAGCGACGCTTCTGGCATACGTGCTGATGCTTCAAGCCCGGGTCTGGTGTGACAGTGGGTGAAAACCGATTACCCGCACGCCTGGCGCTCACTTCTCAACCCGACTGCGGTCGCACGTGCGGTGTCACACCTCGTTGCTTGAGGTGTTTGTTTGCTGTCTCAGTGGGTTGTAGCGAGCTCATTTGCTACGCGCTTGGGCATTGGTGGGCAGCTGACGGCTCCATGCGTGTCGCTGGCGTTGACGTTTCGTGCGCCTGGGCTTTGTTGTGCTCAGGCTCAGGCGCAGCCCGCTACACTTCAACCCAGCCTGCAGCATGACAGCGAGCGAGGCCACTCCCACCCTACTACCTGGTATGTCCTGAAACCTGTCGAGGCAGGGGGGCTGGCGCAAATAACGTGAGCCAGTTGGCCTGCCTGCCCCATCCCAAAGGAGGCAGGCGCAAAGCCGGCAGCCGCCAGCTGGGGCGCCGGGGCTCAAATAGGGCTGGCCGCACGGCCGCACACAGCACACTTATGGAATTGCCCAGCAACCGAAAGAGCAGGGTGAGATCAGCTGGCAAGTTGAGGGATTGAGTCGTGCCAAGAAGTCCACATGAGTGGAGAGAGGAAAGAAGCTGGGCAAAAAGCCCCCTTTCCTCCAGGGTACCGCAAGCAAGGTTGTGCTGGTTGGTATACCGGGCAAAGAGAGTGCGCAGAGGAGCACCAGGCTCGGCAATCCGCAGTTCCATGACCTCACCTGGAGTGAGTGTGGCCCCACTCGATGGCTGGAAATGTGACTGCTATGTCGAAGGCATCTATCTCCAGGGTGGGTCCCGAGAGGGGGGGGTTCCAGTATATGGGCAAGTCTTCTTTGAGGGTGCCCCCCTTGGGGTTGGGAGAAAGGAAAAACACAATGAACACTGCCTTTTTCGGGGGTCCCCTAAAAAAAGGAACACCCGTATAGTATAATATATGTATGTGTGTATGTAAGCATGTGTATATGTATGTAATGTATGTGATGTAATGTAAAGTGATGTGATGTGATGAGATGTGATGTAATGTGTGTAATCATGTAATGTAATGTAATGATGTAATGTACTGTACTGCAATGCAATGCAATGTAATGTAATGTAATGTATGCAATGTATGTAAGGTAAGGTAAGGTAATGTAACGTAAGGTAAGGTAAGGTATGGTAAGGTAATGGAATATAATATAATGTATGTATTGATGCATGTATGTATGTATGTAATGTAATGAAATGTAATGCATGTATGTATGTATGTATGTATGTGTGTATGTGTTTAATGTATGTATGTATGTAATGTAAAGTAATGTAATGTAATGTAATGTAATGTAATGTAATGTAATGTAATGTAATGTATGTAAGTAATGTATGTATGTAATGTATGTATGTATGTAATCTATGTATGTATGTATGTGTGTATGTATGTATGTAATGTAATGTAATGTAATGTAATGTAATGTAATGCAATGCAATGCATGTATGTATGTATGTATGTATGTATGTATGTATGTAATGTATGTATGTATGTATGTATGTATGTATGTATGTATGTATGTATGTATGTATGTATGTATGTATGTATGTATGTATGTATGTATGTATGTATGTATGTATGTATGTATGTATGTATGTATGTATGTATGTATGTATGTATGTATGTATGTATGTATGTATGTATGTATGTATGTATGTATGTATGTATGTATGTATGTATGTATGTATGTAATGTATGTATGTATGTATGTATGTATGTATGTATGTATGTATGTATGTATGTATGTATGTATGTATGTATGTATGTATGTATGTAATGTAATGTATGTATGTATGTATGTATGTATGTATGTATGTATGTATGTATGTATGTAATGTATGTATGTATGTATGTATGTATGTATGTATGTATGTATGTATGTATGTATGTATGTATGTATGTATGTATGTATGTAATGTAATGTAATGTAATGTAATGTAATGTAATGTAATGTATGTATGTATGTATGTAATGTAATGTAATGTAATGTAATGTAATGTAATGTAATGTAATGTAATGTAATGTAATGTAATGTAATGTATGTATGTATGTATGTATGTATGTATGTATGTATGTATGTATGTATGTATGTATGTATGTATGTATGTATGTATGTATGTATGTGTAATGTAATGTAATGTAATGTAATGTAATGTAATGTAATGTAATGTAATGTAATGTAATGTAATGTAATGTAATGTATGTATGTATGTATGTATGTATGTATGTATGTAATGTATGTATGTAATGTATGTATGTATGTATGTATGTATGTATGTATGTATGTATGTATGTATGTATGTATGTATGTATGTATGTATGTATGTATGTATGTATGTATGTATGTATGTATGTATGTATGTATGTATGTATGTATGTATGTATGTATGTATGTATGTATGTATGTATGTATGTATGTATGTATGTATGTATGTATGTATGTATGTATGTATGTATGTATGTATGTATGTATGTATGTATGTATGTATGTATGTATGTATGTATGTATGTATGTATGTAATGTATGTATGTATGTATGTATGTATGTATGTATGTATGTATGTATGTATGTATGTATGTAATGTATGTATGTATGTATGTATGTATGTATGTATGTATGTATGTATGTATGTATGTATGTATGTATGTATGTATGTATGTATGTATGTATGTATGTATGTATGTATGTATGTATGTATGTATGTATGTATGTATGTATGTATGTATGTATGTATGTATGTATGTATGTATGTATGTATGTATGTATGTATGTATGTATGTATGTATGTATGTAATGTATGTAATGTATGTAATGTATGTAATGTATGTAATGTCATGTCTTGTAATGTAATGTATGTATGTATGTATGTATCTATCTATGTATGTATGTATGTAATGTATGTATGTATTAATGTAATGTAATGTAATGTAATATATGTATGTAAGTAATGTATGTATCTAAGAACCCAGGACCATTCCTTTTGAGCATACCCCAAAAATACGTGTTTTAGCATATGTTGGGCGATTTTGGGCATGTTTGACAATGATGCTCGCAAGGTAAGGTGCAAAGCTATTAATTCGCCAAGGGCGCAGCGAGGGTTTAACTTGCTCTGACGGACTCTGCAAACAGGCCTGGGATTAAAGCTGCTACGTTAATTTTCGGTGATGATGAGAACTCATTTCGGCTCCCGAACAAGGGTAAGCACGGGGTTAGTTTAGGCCCCAGGGGACGCCCCAAGGGTAGCCATGTCCTCAATTCTCCAATCCTGGGAACAGGAGTTGGGGGCGGTTTGGGAGTCTTTTCTCCCGGAACACCATTCCACCAAAACACACATTCCGGACCCTGAAGCTGGGGACCTAGTGAAGGGGGGAAGCCGACCGCAGTGCCATGCCATAGTTTCCCACAACAAGTGCTTTTTCGGTGGGACAGGTCCCAGGATTGGTTGGAACAGCTTTCACTGCAGTTTACAAAGCTGATCCGGGTTTCCATCATGTGCAGAACCATGCTGGCCACAGCAAGGGATCAAATCAGGCGCAGAATTGGTAAACAGTTCTTTGAAAGCTCTCACCTTTTTCACTTTGCGTTGACCCTTCACCGGCCACAGAAAGTGCATAGCAAAAACCTGCGTGATGCAAATTGGAGTAGGATAAAACCTTGAAAACTGTGCCAAAACTGGTCGGGGTATGGTCCAAAGGTATGGTGTAGAGTTCTTAGAATGTATGTCTGTATGTATGTGTGTATGTATGTTTGTATGTATGTTTATATGTATGGTATGTAATGTAATGTAATGTAATGTAATGTAATGTAATGTAATGTAATGTAATGTAAGTAAATGTATGTATGTATGTATGTATGTATGTATGTATGTATGTATGTATGTATGTATGTATGTATGTATGTATGTATGTATGTATGTATGTATGTATGTATGTATGTATGTATGTATGTATGTATGTATGTATGTATGTATGTATGTATGTATGTGTATGTATGTATGTATGTATGTATGTATGTATGTATGTATGTATGTATGTATGTAATGTATGTATGTATGTATGTATGTATGTATGTATGTATGTATGTATGTATGTATGTATGTAATGTATGTATGTATGTATGTGTGTATGTATGTTTGTATGTATGTTTATATGTATGGTATGTAATGTAATGTAATGTAATGTAATGTAATGGAATGTAATGTAATGTAATGTAATGTAAAGTAGTTTCATGTAATGTATTGTAATGTATGTATTATGTATGTATTTATGTAACGTATGCATGTAGGTTCGTATCTATGTATGCATGTGCGTGTATGTTATGTTATGTTATGTTATGTATGTGCGTATATACGTTTATATGTATACATATGCATATGCTAGCGTATGCTTGCAGCAAGTCTAAATCCCCCTCACTCCGTGCCAGGAGCTGCAGCTGTCACAGGACCAGCGTGAGGCGCTCTACTCGCAGAAGGAGCAGCGACTGCGGGAGCTGCAGGCAGGGATCGAGGGAACCAGTGCCTTCCAATGGCTTCAGAACCTGTTTTCTCTACTGCTATCGGGTTGGATCTTGAGACTTTAACTTTTTGGATTCCCCTCATATTTCCTTTTAGCCAGCAAGAAATAACTTCTTGCTGGTGGAATTGCAGCACCCAAGTTTTTTCATTTTCTCTGGTGGGTTTGAAGGGCATCTAGTACTACTGGATTTTTTCTTGTTATTTTTAAGGGGACTCAAGCAAATGGAGGTAACCCGGAACCCACCAGTGTCATTTTGCAGGAAACTGGTCCAAACCAAGCATGGAGCCTGCCAAAGGCTTTTGGGGGTACATCTTGGCGGGGCGAGTCGACCTTTCGACCTGTTTGGTTTTCTCTTATTCTGTTTGAGTCACGGCCTCTCAAACGGAAATCACCTATTCCCTGGTTTTCTCTTGTTGGCAACCATTTCGTTGCCCAGAAGGTTAAGCTTGTGCGTCCATTGGGCAACTGAGTTTGAGTTTGAGGACACAGCCAAGAAGAACACGGAGGAAATGGTGAAGCACCACAAGGAATCCGGGTGGCCGACGGGTAGGTCACGGGGAAGATGCCTTCTGCGTGCAGCTGGCATGTCTGTTTCGATGCGTAACTTCTTTGAGGAGCTTCTCGATCTTGAGCGGGCGCTACACACAAGGACGCCGTCCGATTTTCACGTGTTTGCACGACCCGCTGTGGGATGCACACTCTGTCTCGCAATTTGGCTCCGCCATCCTTTCTGGGAGGACGATGGAACGAACTATGGACCGCCTTTGCCTCGGTCACATGACCACTCGGCACGCAGTGGCTGCATCGTGTTTGCAGCTTCGTCAGGGACCAAGTGGCGTTCTCAATCCTTGCATCCTTCTCAAGGTGTAGCATGGCCCTGTAGGCCGGCAGCACACCACGCGACTGACACACTCGCCACATCTCGCCACTCTCATTTTCAACATGTCCGCGTTCCGCCAAAAGAAACAACAACAACATACGATTTAGGGCTCAGCATGGCTCAGCGTGTGCTGGACAAGAGGGCGCTTGTGAGACGTTTGCCCAGGTGTGGTTCAGCACCTGAAGTTGACTGAGGATGGCCTGCCAGGTTTGCCGGCGCCCCCAGCGCCATAATGCATGTCGTCGGCCAGCTGCGCCGTAAATGCGGTCAGATGCGGTCGGCTTGAGGACGGAAGGGAGTCCTCTTGATTCTTTCTAGGGGTTGATTCCCCATTCTTTTCATCTTTAAAAACCAGCTGTTTCCCCAGGGTTTTGGGTGGTTTTTTAGGAGAAGAATGGGGCAGGTACACCTAGATACTTGGTTCCTAGCGAGCCTGCGGGCCTGAAATTTGGCTCCCGGGCTGAAGGTGTCACAAACTCGACAAGACGTCGAGGGCGAATAGCTTGATCAGACGTGGCCCGGGTGCCGCCTCTCCAGCGCCGCAAAGCTTCACTGTTGCATGCATCACGGGCAAGCCGGATAGATTTGCACCTTGCGCCAGATCGACGCAGTTTTGGCTTGCGCACGCATTTTTGGCAAACCGTTTTCTCACCCCAGCCTCTGAAAAAAAAAGAAGTTTCCCACGGCCGCCAGGTCTGTCCAAGGCGTCTTTCGCCCCTTCGCCCTCCCCGGCGTCTTGGGCGCCGGCCGTGCCGGCGCCGCTGCGCTACGCCACGCCATGGCGGCTGCCTTTGCGGAGCGGCTGCTGCAGGCCTTTCAGGAGGCGGGCCTGGAGCGGGAGACGTGCCACTTCGACGAGGCGCGGCGCAAGCGCGCCGGTGACGCACGCGAGGGTCACGGGGGTCGCGATGCCTCGCTCCAAACTTCTGCTGGCATGCCCTACACCAAAGTCACCCTTGTGCTGAAGTTGTAAGTTCAAAGGGTAAAATCCCCAGGTTCTGACGCTCGGAACCCCCCAGAAACAGTCAAATTGACCCCAGTTTGGGCGCGAGGCCTCCGGGCAAATGGTCATCAGCGGAAATGTGACTCGCGTGGTGCCGGTGGCAACGCTCTTCTCGCAGTATGCCCGTGCTGATGAGGAGACATGCGAGACATGGGGCTTGATCCAAAGTGTCCGTATACATAGTAGGATGACCATGAAAACCACTAAAATATTTGATATTTCAACCACTTGGGAAAAGGTATCAAAACTGGGAGCCGAAGGGAAGATTTATCAACCCCCACATCGAGCCGACGTTCACTTTGAGCTCTTGCAGCGTATGGCTCCTCGTTGTTTTTTGTTTTTTTTGCGGGGAGCCCCACTTTTTTGTTGTTGTTTTTTATTGTTTTTTTGGTTCGCTTTAGAGTGACAACAGGTGAAAACCACCAGGAAACCGACCTTTTTGGGGGGACCCCTAAAAGGAAACACGGCCAGATGCGTCAATCAGTTTTCTGCTCTCAAGATACCATTTCGGCCTGTAGACCTCCAGGCTGCCAAGGGCAAGCTGTTGGATGCCGCACTGAAGGCGCCGAAAGCAAAGCAATATGTCAACCAGTCAAAAACTGAACTGGCGGGACCAGGACTTGTTTTGTTGTTTCCTTTGTTGCTCCATTGTCCAGAAAATGGTTCAACTCTTGGAGCAGGCTTGCTGCAGGGTCTACACCTGTTACCTTTCTCATCTCAGCATTGCTTGACTCGTCTTGTAGAGTGAGGCCTTTGTAGAGGGCGATGCCGACGTGCCGGAAACTGCCGACGAACGGCTGCTTCCGCAGCTTTGGAGCAAGCAGAGGCGTCCTGCGGTGCCCTGTGTTGCGTGCATCGGTGCGTTCCAAAACGTGCAAAGCCAGCCACGTCGCTATGCACGCATTGAGACGCCGCAAGACGCTGCGACGTGCCAGGATCGCGGCCAGGCAGCTGACACTGCCGCCAGGACGGTTTTCTTTAGAAGAAAGATGCAGCTGCCTGATGCGTGGCAGGCTTTGAGCTGCCCCACTGCGGCCTGCATGGCGAAATGCCCGCGGGCGATCTTGGGGTGGTGCTGGTTTGCAACTTGGCCAATGTGCGCGCGCGGTTGCGAGCAAGTCGGTTGTTTCATGTTGTGTGTTTAGCCTAAGCAGCGCAACTTGTAAGGTGACTACAAATCCGACGCCTGGATGCGCTTAGAGCAACTGAACTGCCTGGAAAACATCCTCATCACTTGTTGTTCTTTGCTCCCACCATGTCGCTGCACATAACATGGCAAGGAGCTGCATTACCTAAATACTTGTGGGAAAGAGTGTGAACTGGTCCCACGCGTGCGATGCACGGTGGGTTGCGATTCATGCACATTGCCATCTCCCCCAGGACAGCTTGAGCATTGAGACGCCTGTTCTGTCTTCAGATTTGTCGCGCTGGAGTGGCTTGGATCGCAGATGTGTACACAAGTCCGACAACATGTTTGAGTGTGACTCGGGCAGCAAGACCTTTGTGCAAGCCAGAGCTAGTGCTGGATGTTGCCGCCCCTTAGTCACGCTGCCCACATTCAGCCACTTCTTGTCGCAAGCCAGTCCTAAGTAAATGCAACTCGTAGGCCCCAAAGAAATCGGTGCGATCCTATCGCTGAACAGCTAACGTTAGCTAAGCCACGTTCTCCATTGGCTTGGCCGTGCTAGGCTTGAGCTTCACAGCTGCCACGCAGAAGGCTCTCGAGAACCTCCGCAGCCGCACAAAGAGAGGGCCATCAGCTAACAGGTGCGGAAACTGGCCCCCCTCAACTAGGCAAGGGGAGTTGCATTGACATGGTGATGGATGTCCATGATGCTCCTTGTGCAACTTCTTTCGGCATTGCTTCCAGTCGCTGGGAACATCATCCAACTGGCTGCGGCGAATCTTGCACCCTGGCAGTTCTTTGAAAGTCAGCTGGATGCAGGGCGCCTTAACGCCTTAGCTAAGGCTGGAAGGACGGCTTCGATGCCGTGCGCGTGGCGCTCTTTCCCAAGCTCGTGGCCGCCCGCCTCGCTCTCGGCGCACGCTAGCCTCTGGCGCCTGGGTGCTCGGCTCATGTGGTCGCCGGTCCCAGGCAAGCGCCCAGACGGCGTGGCGGAGCAGGGTCGCACCCGCCGCGTTTGGGGAAACAGCATGCGGATCTCTCGCATGCTCTTGGAAAACGTCACCGCAACATTTCCGCTCAAGTCCCAGTGGCTTAGGGGATGCCAAGGGCGGGCTTGGTTGTGTAGCTGGCAATGGCCACTTGCAGGGCCACGCGGCTCCTTGTGGCAATGTGTTGCTTGCAGTTGGCTGCTGCCGGATGCCACAAAGGTGCCAAGGCAAGCAGTCAGAAACGTAGCATGAACCATGCAGGTCACTGGCCACGCTGTGACGCTGTGGCCATGAGAATCTCTGGCACTGCATCTGAGGATCAAGAAGTGATTGCTGCTTGGATGGGCAGCTGAATTAGGCCATTAGAACTTTGCATGGCATTGCAGGCTCAGCCTCCTTGAAACCCATGGTTACGGACACTATGAGAGCTTTGCAATGCTTCGGCATTCTTGAGATTTCTTGGGGGAACCCAGGCGATGATCATGGCGTTTGCGTTTCAAGAGCCTTCTTTGACCATGACCCCTTCTTCAACGAATGCGCCTGGCCTCAACAGAGCCACTCTGGCTTAGCTGCATCGACTCTTTTTGACTCAACCAGCTTGAAGCACTCCACCTCGAGCTTTCTCAGGCAGATGTGACTTCTGCTGGGTAGGAGCTCACTCCTGTGACTTCAACCTTTGTCTCTTCTTCGCCATCCCTTTGTCGACGCTGTGCTGCAAACTCCGGCTAACAGAGCATTTCAACTTCGCCCGGCCGAGGATCTTCTTCTGCTGCGTCTGCCTCTTTTGCGCCTTGCCAAGCAAGAATCCAGAAACCCAAAGGCTTGAAACGCGATAAGGGAGCACTAAGGGCCTAGGCACGCATCGAAGCGAGGCTGTCCCAATTGCATCGCAGCAGCTGCGGGCGCGGGCGCGGCGGGCACGGCCGCGTGGCGGCGTCAAGATGCCAGGGCGCCTATGGTCCAACAGGAGAGGGCGCACAAACAACTCAGACAAAGCGTGTCGCCACGTCGCATCCCGCAGAACCTGCCATCTTCGCGGCTTGGCACCGAGGGTCTTGGCACGACACCGGCACTTGCGCTGTTCTTGTTTCTTCTTATTTTTTCCTCCGACTGCTTAGGAGAGTGGATGCCTTTAGTGGTGCCAACGCGCCACAGGACACGGTAGCAACAGTTATGTTTTGGACATTGAGTTGGCCCTTCTCATGCCATTTTGGTCTTTGCAATCAAACATGACCTGCCGCAACCATTTCGAGCGTAAAGCGCTTGGTCAAGCTGCGGGATCATGCAGGCCCGTGCCATTTTCTCTTACCTTATTTGCATGTGGCTCAAAATTAAAGAGCTAGGGCTACGCAAATGTCAGTCTTTGGTTCCATTTACCTTCAAGGTGCCATTTTGGTCTCCATGTTTTTGAGCCACAGGCATTTCGTGGCCGGTTGTTTGGGCTCTTGCGCGCCTTCCCGTTTCGCCTTCGGCGATCTTCAGCGCCTTGGCTCCGCGCCCTGAAGGCGACATGGCTCTGTACCGCACCCTCCACAAGCCGCGGGTGGCCATCCGAGCAGAGCCGCGCACCAGCGCGGAGATTGCGCACGTGCTAGCAGAGGGCGAGGTCTTTCGCGCTCTTCGGACAAGACTCATTTGTTTTTTGCCACAAGCCACTTAGCAGGGGCCAGGTGTCAGTTCGGTTGCCTGAAACAGACACCTCATTGGCCATGTGACAATATGTGCCAGGTGTCAGTTTCGGAAGCCTGAAACAGACACCTGATTGGCCATGTGACAATGTGTGCCAGGTGTCAGTTCGGTTGCCTGAAACAGACACCCCATTGGCCATGTGACAATGTGTGCCAGGTGTCAGTTTCGGTTGCCTGAAACAGACACTCCATTGGCCATGTGTCAGTGAATCTTGAAAGTTTCCTCAGTTGTTCAGTGGCACCAATTTGTTTCCCCTTTTTTATGTGGCCCCACAAAAATTGGTCTTCCCCAAAAAGAGTTCCCTTTTTTTTAAGATTCGACGTGGCACTTCTGTTTGGCCTTCCAAGGTTGCCGAGCTCCGCGACGGCTGGGTTCGGCTGGCCGAGGATGAAGCCTGGGCGCGGGCCATTCCTGCGGGCTTTGTGCTGATGGACGGGGCCGAAGTGGGCTCTTTGCCGGAAACGAAGCCCAGAGCCCCCCGCCACAAAAAAAACCAGGGTAGGTTGAGGATGGGACAGTTTTCAACATAAAATTTGGGTACAGCCGCCTGGTTAAGCAATTCTTGAGGCATGGCTATGGGTGGACCATTCCAAGACCAGGTTTGGATTGTGACTGGTGCACTTGTGACCTGGGACGGACGTCATCTCTGAGGCTTGGGAAAGCTGATCGAGCCATTGGACCGGCCAGATGAGGAGCCTTCGACCTGTCGCATCTATCGCCAGCACGGGTAATGGCAACCCTTAGTGGTTTGGGTCGGTGGTTTGGATTGGCAACTGGTTCTTGAAGAGGAAACCCCTCCATTTCACCACACCAGCGGCGCGGCTCCAAGCCGCCCAGTTAATGTTGACCCCGGAGATATACGCCCCCGTTTCTTGATATGGGGGTGTCCCCTGGTTTGAGTAAAAATATATATCACTTTTTGGAGGGGAACACCACCGCATATCAATAAACCAAACCGGGGTGTAATCCGGGGTCGGCATTAGGAAGCAAAAAAGGAAACGAGACGCGAGACGCTCCTGGCCCGAGATGCATCAGGAGCTGTGGCCTTTCACCGCGGCCTTCCGCCGCGCCCGCGAGCTTGGGGTGCCCTTCGCTCCAAAAGCGCCTGGCCCGCAAGAAACTGGGCTCCTGAAATCGCTGAAATCCCACCAAAACTGCTTAAAAAGCCGAATTGTTGCTCCCCTTCCAACGTCAAGGAATCCTTGGGTTGCTTTCAAGCTGCTTGCGGCTTTGTAGGGATCATAGAACCTCGGCTTGGCCCAAGCCAAACCATGTTGAACAGCGAGAAATCCGATGCTGCAGATCTGCCCAGCTTCCGAAAGGAGCTCTGGAAAACGGTTGGGAATGGTTTGGATGCGCTTTTTGCGGATTTGGCCAAGCTCTTTTAATATCCAGGGGTGGATCCACGGATTTTTCACCTAGGTCCCCCAGTAGTGCCCTTTTACCCTTTTTTGGGGGAGGCTTCCCCCACTCAAATAGACTACAGAAAAAAAATACCAACTTATTCCAACCTCGAGCTACTGGAGGAGCCACATATCCAAACCGTTTGCAAACCCGAACGCGCGGCAAAGAAGAGCCACACGCGGCCCACGAAAACGGATCCCAAGGACGCCGGCGAACGCTCGCTGCGGCCCATGGGCGCCGGGAAGCTGGAGACCTCGTGGCTCAGCTGCTGGCACTCCCCAAGCTGCGAATGGCCAAAGGACCTGCGGACAGGCCCCGCGAAAAAGGAAAGCACACACACACACACACTTACACGCGGGGGGGGGGAGAAAAATAAAAATAAGAAAAAGAAAGGAGAAAAGAAAAAACACCAAGCGCGGGGGACAGGCACGGGACGCATAAAAACGCGCAGGTTCTCTATTCGAATGCATCAGCCAGCCGGCACCCAGAGGCCATAACGACGAAGCTGAGGACAAACAGGCTGTGTCTAACCAGGATCTTTCTCTTAACCTAGCACCCAAGGGTTGCTATATAATGTCCCAACATGGCCCTTTGGAGCACTGCCGGTATGGACCACCATTTGAGGGCTGGTGGATTTGTGTTGCGAATGGGAGCCGTCTGAAGCCCACTGAGTGCTGCGGCAGGGCACGCGCAGCTGGCAGTGGCTGCACTTCTCCGGGGAGCTACGCCTGGTGTGGTGCAGAGCTTTGCGACGCTCGGATTTGCAGAGCGGCGATCTCTGCATACTAAGGCGTACTAGCCCTTACAAAGTGTTACAAAGCATTGTTGCTGGTTGATGCTTTCTTGCTTGATTTGACCCCCTCCCCCCCCTCACCCCTCCCCCTTAGCACCCCATCAGTCAAGGCCCACCTTGTGCTCCCAGTGAGGCAGTACCACCTCAGCATTGGCTTCCAGCTGATTTTGCTCTACTTCGATGCGCCGGAGGACCCTTCAGAGCTGCATGTCTTCAATGATTCAACTCATGGATCCCTCAAATGGCATCAGGGGAGGGGGGCTGACCCCAATTCGATTTTCGGCTGCCTCTTATGGGGACTGGGGTCCCGAGGGCCCCCGGGTCCCGAACCCCCCCCCAGCCCAAGGCTGGCCTCCATCCAGGCTGCAGAGCAACTGTCGGGCGCGGGCGCCCTGGGCACGCCTCGCTCGCATCGCCCCATCTCCGGATCCCAAAAGCCGGAGGGATCTGAAGGACATCGGTTGAGCATCTGAAGGCAAAGATAGGTCCAGGATAGGTTCAGGTGATGGTATGGGGTAGTGCAAATATAGCTCTAGGGTGCGAAACTTGGAGAGCGTCCCAAGAATTAGGAATGCTTCCGCTGCACAATGTTTGGCTTTCGTTCCAGAACTGCATCATAGGCTTACCCATTCTTGCAATCTTAAGAACTGCACTTGCACTTCGGGCAGGACATGGTTCCAGAACATCCCTGCCCGTATAAAGAATCGTTTTGCCGGAATTGGGCCAGCAAATTTGGGGCCGACTCCAACCACTTGAGAACCAATACTAAATCACGGTTTTAGCCAGCTCCATGACATAGAATTCTACTGTTTCTATTCCTGGTTCGGAAATTGTGTTTTTTTTGATCGACGTTTGGGCTACGCAAAGCAGGGGGGGGCTTTGGACAAGGACCGTAGCGGAATGTAACTTCAACCCAATGGTTCACATGAATAAACGAGTTCCGCCTCTAGGGGGGATATGGCCATGGATCAAAACCCTGTACCCCTGGTGAACATCCCAATCCCCACTAAAATAGGTTCTAAAATGGGCGGTGCACCTACCCCAAAATGGTACCATTGGTTTTGACCCACAGCCATATCGCGAAGGCAATTTCCCGAAGACGAATTCCCCGAAGACGAATTGCG